CAATGCAGGAAACGCAGGCAACGCAGGAAACGCGGGAAATGCAGGCAACGCAGGTAACCCAGGAAACGCAGGAAATGCAGGTAATGCAGGAAATGCAGGAAATGCAGGCAACGCAGGTAATCCAGGCAATGCAGGTAATGCAGGAAATGCAGGCAACGCAGGAAATGCAGGCAACGCAGGTAACCCAGGAAACGCAGGAAATGCAGGTAATGCAGGAAATGCAGGCAACGCAGGTAATCCAGGCAACGCAGGAAATGCAGGAAACGCAGGCAACGCAGGTAATCCAGGCAACGCAGGTAATGCAGGCAACGCAGGAAATGCAGGCAATGCAGGAAATGCCGGCAATGCAGGCAACGCAGGTAATCCAGGAAACGCAGGTAATGCAGGAAATGCAGGTAACGCAGGAAATGCAGGCAACGCAGGAAATGCAGGCAACGCAGGGGACGCAGGCAACGCAGGGGACGCAGGCAACGCTGGAAATGCAGGCAACCAACCACAAAATCAAGGTAATCAAGAAAAGAGTGCAAGTACCTTATTTCGTTAGTTGGGTCAAAGCAGCATATGTGTAAATTTAAACAAGCTGGTGCTCAGTGTGAAATGAGGAGAGACAATGATGCTTAGGAATGTATATGCGATTAACAGGTGAGTGAATGAACAACGGAAGCAGATAAGCAAACAGCGTTGCAGCGTGTCAAGTACCGTATTTTTTTGGTAAGGTCAAAGCCACTCAGCACTCTGCGCAATCCTACAATTACACCTTTCTTCCTCTACAAGATCTTTTTGAAGTCACTGCTTTTGAGCTTTCGAATTCCGAAGTAGTGCTATTTCTGCGATTTAAACAGTGCATCGGCACTTTTTTGCTCTGACATAGTTCCCAAATAAATATCCAAGCTACCCTCCCTCTTCTTTCGAATACAGGTGGGTTCCTTTCTAACTCGTTTTAGCCATTTTTTAGAGACCAGTTCTTTTTCAAGTATTTGAACAGTAATAGCAACACTTTGCATTGTCAACTGCTCCCCTGAACAAAAATACCAATCTCTTTATTTTCGGATGTTGTTGCGCAGTCTATCAGAGCATCTCCAGTATGACGGGCACAAATCTTGTAAACAGCGATGCGCACCAAGAAACCAGATTGAGTTTCTGCCTTTCTCTCCCCTCCGTCTTTTTGAAGAAAACGCGGTTTCCAATTTAATCTCCTGGTCTAGTCTTGTAGTCCAACTTCCTAGTTACGGATATTTACGGTTTATATCATATCACTTTTCGTGCGTTTTTGCGGTGCAGCGCTATAGCAAAAACGCATATTGTCGAGAGGTTGTATGTGTGTGTGTGTATTCAGAAGCGCGTGCATTTTGTCACCTACTTTCATAGCAGCAACTGGGAAAGCTGGGAGGCTGAAACTTTGGGTATTTGTTCCTACCTAGTGTGTCATCCTAGATGTTCCCCCACACGCGCCTCGATCACGCGTACAGGCCCCCAAAAAAATATGTTGGCGGGGAACGATTTCGCGAAGCAGGCTGAAACTTTGCAGGGATATTATCTATGCACATGCGAGCTAAACATTTTAAACTCAGCTGTCGAGCACCCCAACCACAGCCTTAAACAGCTCCTCAACCCAAAAATCGTTATGAAATCCATTGCAATCCGGACCCGAACTTCAGTCGTATATGTAAATGAACATTAGTTAATATGCATACATGAATTTCTTAACAAGTGACCGCTGGAGCAATACTTCCACTCTTTAGTGAACTGCAAGTTTGCATTTTTTCAAAAAAATTTGCGTTTGTCATTTTTGCGCGTTTTTGCTGTGCAGCGCTATAGAAGTTTTTGAGGGCTAGCAAAAACCCATATTGTCGAGAAGCTGTGTGTGTGTGTGTGTGTGTGTGTGTGTGTGGAAAGCAAGTGCATTTTGTCGCCCACTTTTATCCCAGCAACCAGGAAAGCTGGAAGGCTGAAACTTCGGATATATGTTCCTATCCCGTTTGTCATCCCCCCGTTTTAAGATCTTCCCCCATACGTGCCTAAACCCCGCGTACGGGACCCCCAAAGAAGTATGTTGGCGGGAAACGATTTTGCGAACCACGCAACGTAGAAGGCTGAAACTTTGCAGAAATATTCTCTATGCAAGTACGAGACAAAGATTTTAAACTCAACCCTCTAACTGCCCAACCACAGCCTCAAGCAACTCCTGAACCAAAAAATCGTTAGCAGCTCGGACCTGAACCGCAATTGTATATGCGAACGAACGTGGATTTTTTAAAAAACGACCGTTCGAGCAATACTTTCAGTTTTTCAATGAACTGAAAATTTGCATATTTTCAAAAAATTTGCATTTGTCATTTTTTCACAAAGCGAGCATTTGCCGAAAAAAAGACCGGACTTCATGCAAACCCAGGCTGAAACGCACCAGGCGAGCCGGTGCGATCATGCGTTTTTGAACAATACTTGAATTA